AAACAGACAAAGTGGCCATCTGGCGTTTATTTAACTTCTACTTCGCTGCAACGGACTGATGCTTAGTGTGAGTACTTTTGAACTACTCACAGGAATCAGTAGTATTTACTTCCAGAGATTTGGTTTCTTTAAGGTATTAAAGTTACCTTTCTGATATTCAATTAGCTTTTTATAAATACCTTTATTGGTTGGTAAACCTGTTTAGGACTCATAATTTTAAATAAATGTTTGTATTTACTAAAATTTATAAAGACTGAATCAGACAAAGTAATAAGAAAACGTATTTTTTCTGAATCATATAATGTGTTTACGCAACACATTTCGTACAATCTGATCACAAACGGAATCGTTATAGGAATACGTATGAAATTAATAAGTAGTCGACGTCTTGGTGGATCAATAAAGCGATCTATTTACAGAAAACCTACCTGGACGGGACTTAGTTATCACAGCTTCTGCCCTATTTGGTATAAAAGAACCATAGTGAGCGCCTCTTCAGGAGAATCCAACGAATATGCACTGAAGACACAATTGATGAGGAAGAAGGATAGATGACACAAACTCTAGTTGACAATAATTACCCAGTCAAGTCCATCAGGAGGTATGAAGTGGTCAGAACACCAAGACATACTCTCCAACTCGCCGCTAAGAAAGATATATATATACCCTATGTAGGTGATCATATCAGCATGGTAACAAGTCAAAGATTAAGGGCTGTGAATGAAGAGACTTTCTGTGTAGCTGAGATCATAATAATTAAGGATGTGAAGCCCATATAGCCATGTAAGTTCATAGAACATGAGAAAAATGATGTCACATCCCACTGTATTTACCAATTGAATGCTCATTTGGACACCAAGCACATATACAGGGAGGACTCCTCGGTTTGCTAAAGTAAAAGCTAGCTTCAGAGCACATTCCTAAGTGGTTTCAGAACAAAACAAATTCCCCAAAACCCATTAATGGTGAGAAAAGACAACCCTACCTGTCTACTAAGGAACATATTATAGAGACAGGACATAAAATCGATGTTTACACGTCTCTTTAAACCAATCCATAGAACTTGTTTGGGGAGTATCATAAAGTTTGTGACAATTAGAAAGTTTAAACCACCTTTCTGCATTCAAAGCAACAATCGTCATCACACTAAACCTTCCTAGGTTAAATTTGTTTTGATACTAGCTATGGTAGATGTACTATTACCTCTGCTATTTGATTTAGTGATGTTCATTGTTATTTTGACCTTCAGTGTGTCCTTTTAGCTTTCCCTGAATCTATTTTCTTCCCCTTAGCTCTTTATTATTTTCATTTGTCAAGTCGATGTGAGCTTCTTGTTTGAAATGTGTTGCTCGAATCTATTACACTATTTTGGTGAACCACGTCTTCCTATTGCTTTGTCTAAATTCACAAAGGAACTAATTCTTTTAAGGATTGACTTATAGGGTTTTTTTCACCTTAGAAGGCTTGTAATTATGTACTGAACTCGTTAGTTTGTTCCTCTTTTCTTACTCTTTACTCAATCTTGAAAGGTGAAACGTAGCATTTCACTAGCTGTTATGTAAGTTTCCTATGATCAAATAACCCAACTCTTAATCAAGGCTATTCTTTCAAATAATCAGGACAATAGGTCATTTTATTTAATCATACGCGAACAGAAAATGTACCACACAATGTATCCAGTGTTCTGATTCCCTTTTCAAGCTGTCTTTATTGTTTTGTTTAAGTTACACTTAGAAGTTGACTAAACCTGGGTCTTAAATCTTGTCCGTATATTAGTTTGATTAATTTAATGTAGCCTCTTTGAAAGAAAATAATCAACCTTTTTAGTCATTCTGTTCCCTACCAGGTTCTCAGAAACTTGTTTCACCCTCAAATAAAATATACTAAAAGTCAACAGGCTTAGTGTAGCTAAATACTGGGTAGTACTAGTTAAAAAACGATATGAACCCATTGCCAACTGATATGGTGTCGTCGGCTGCTGATATGACCCAGTTATCTTGGGTGTGATATTATTGAACGGAATGGACAAACTCAACTGAAATGATAGATACGATTATTCGCCCTTAGTACCTTCAACTTCACTGAGCCAAATAAATTTCAAAAGACAAATACCGACCTGTGACTGTCAGGATATGCACGGCTGCTGACAGCGACAACAGTAACGAGGATAACAAAAAGAAACAGGTTGATTACGACGATCATTTACTGGTCAAATTGTTTGGTATATGTAATTTGCTAAACCTCGGGAATTCAAGCCATAAATCTGATTGTTTAGCCAAAGTTAATGGTTATAAAAATGGTTGATGAAGTTGTACAATATGATCAAAGGTCATTCGATCCACAAGATGAATTTTGTAACCACTGGATTGAAATAGTGATGAATTTTTTTAGCCACTTCCTGTTACGAGAGAATTTAGGCTTCGCACTCAAAGTTATTTGCAGATTGTGTTAGTGAGATGACATATGTGTTTCTGTGTGTAACTGACATGTGTCTCAGGCCGATAGTCGCTGCTACATTTCGAAAGCCATGCTTGTCTCAGTCATTTATTCCAACTGACAAGTTTCCATTTTCTTGCTTGGATCAACAACACTGTACAGATTATTTTCAGTCTTATTCGTAGGCGGATTCTGGTTTGCTTTGTTTTCGAGATCAAAGCGGTGTATTTCTCTATATTCAGTAATTCGAATAAAATCTGGCTGGCTCTGTGACTGTCCACAAGTCCTCATCTCCTCTTCACACTGTCGAACCCATCGTAAACTCGTCGTTTCCCTCAGAAGTTCGACTAGTCGATTTGTCTGGTGAGCGTGTCACTGAAAGGTCTTAACAGAATGTGTTTGCGCTCTATCCTTTATGTCCATTAGTTCTTTAATACTGAGATGGAGAGGGCATCTGTTGATAAAATGGAAATGCTTTTCGTGTCACACTTACCAAGCCTTTGAGCTATACAGAAAACCTGACTCATCTAACATCCAAAAATTTATCCTTGTGCTAAGCGTAGTAGATTTCCACATTGTTATCAGAGTAATGAAGGTCTCGATTGTGTTTCCAATCCTACCAGCGTTGACACCTTCATTTGAGCAGTTTGTAGTTGAAATAGTGCAGCCTAGAGAGACGACCTCTTTCTAGTCTCTCCCGTTGATAGTGACTAGTGATCCTTGTTGTGGTTGTTGTTGGCTGATTACCTTCATTACCCCTGCCATCTCTATATTCACCTGAAGTCCTGTATTCGCTTGCTGCCTATACTGTCTCTGTGACATTAAATCGTCTATGAAGTCTAAATCTTTCAGAGTCTTCTTGTTTTCTAAACTTATTACTTTCTTCCCACTCCTCACTGCCTGCCGCGTGATTCATTTAACTAAAACTGGGGATTTGAGATATATACAGGACCAATCAGATGTATGAAGGCGTCACTACTTTCTAGTCTCACACATACTATACGTCGTTTGCAGTAATACTAACCTCAGTGAATAACGTCCTCTAACCCAGTAATATTGATTAAATAAATGAAGTTAAATACTTGTGCACTGTGGTAGAGTGTAATTCCATTATGGGTAAATTTTGTTTTGATAAAGTCTCACAGTGTTATACAGTAATGTTTACTGATGACGTTTCGAGCACAATTTATTGCTCATAATCATACCAAGGTAATCACACGACTTCCTAAATTCATTTATATAGTTCCATTCTTTTTCTCTTGATTTTCACTTGATTTGATTGGTAATAGTATTTTCCATATTTCAGGTATGAGTGACGAGTCATTCCTATCGCACCCAACACATGCAATAGGAATGACTCGTCACTCATACCTGAAATATGGAAAATACTATTACCAATCAAATCAAGTGAAAATCAAGAGAAAAAGAATGGAACTATATAAATGAATTTAGGAAGTCGTGTGATTACCTTCGTATGATTATGAGCAATAAATTGTGCTCGAAACGTCATCAGTAAACATTACTGTATAACACTGTGAGACTTTATCAAAACAAAATTTACCCATAATCGAAGTTCAATACTGCATCTATGAATGCTTTTGAGCAGAAACCCCCTAAGTACACTGCTAACATAACATAACATAACATAACAATTTCGCTTTATTCCAGAAACAGTACTTGTGGTACAGTGTGGAATTTTCAGCACATATCTACAATATTGCATCTAATTTCATCGTACATTTAAAAAAGGAGTATTATAAAAAAATAAAATATATAAAAAAAAAATAAAAAAAAACCAAAAAAAAAGAAACAGAAATAACCAAAAAAAATGCAAATAAAAATGCCGAGTAAAAAAGAAGATCAACACAAATAATGAAAAAAATATTTCAGTATTGGTTAGTGGAAGCTACGATATGTTTATGCGTGGTGAACAGTAACAGCTATAATCATAAGGGAAATTATGAGATGTTCTTAAAAAATGTTTATAGCCAAGATGATCAGTTAATTTGATTGAACAACACTAAGCAATCATAAGATAAACATTTCAGGTTGTTTTTTTTATTGTCAGTACTAATGCGGTTGTTTGTAGTGGTAGTGTGAGGAATCATGCATGATACAAAATTTTTAAGATGGTGATAGTGGCAATAACAAACAAGATTGTCAGTTAAATAGTGCCGAACAAAAGAACAACCACAAAACTAATGTTACATGATGGTTAATGACGGGACAATTTTTTAATAACCATAGTGATAGTATAGTCGGACCCAGTAGATGTACAAAGAAGGAATAGAATAAAGAATAAAAATGTAAGCCAATGATAATAATTTTAAGCAGCTAAGTATGTTTAAGAAGGTTGTTCACTATAGAGTACAACTAAGAGAGTGTAAGGGGGAAATAACAAGGGCCAAAATTATGTTATTAACAACAAAGCAAGTCATAGGTCTCACGCCTTTCTTGTGTGCATGTATGTGCGTGTGTGTGAAACAGATGTCTGCCAGTTCCTCATGCAAAGAAATACAAAATCATTATGATTAATTACTGTCTTTGTTAAATCTTTCTTACAGTCCTGACATAAATGAATCCTCAGAAAAAACTGAATCTAGTGGTCAACATGTGAAAAAAAATAAAATTTTGGTAAGTGACTAAAATTATTGCTTTGCTATGTAATACTCCAGTTCATTTCTTTTTTATGGCTTATTTATATTATTTCTTCTTGTAATTCTACAAGAAGGTAGATGATTTATCTTGACCTCTCATTAATGTTGGACATTGAAAGGGATATGCGTGAAAATATGAGGCAATGAATAGCTGTTTCGTTTAAATTCAGAACGCCTCCGTAATGTGAATTCAACATCCTCTAACAACTGGTTCCCAATTTTCCCGACCAGTCTTTTATTATTATTCATTCGTTGGCTTAGATGTTAACAGTTAGTTTTTATTGATTTCTGAATATCTCTGATACAACTAAGTCAACCTCTGTTGCAATATCTGACTATGTCAATAGTTGCTTAGCAAATCTTAGTGCCTATAACCGAATCTTAAGCTAGACAGACTGAAAGCTTCAGCAGTGAGATTCATCGAATGTACTGATAAATCGTGTACGATCAAATTTCTAACCTCGGAAGGCACCAAATGATTTTAAGCCACTAAACATTTGAAGAAGGCACTTCGGAGACAAATTTCGCGAGATGGTATCATTTCGTAGTTTCTTTACAACTACTTTACAAACTGAATAAACTTTTGCATTATACTATTATTTCATGCCGGAAACTGTCCAGTTCTTCTGCGCTTATTCGCCGACTAATCTACACCTTTAATGATAAAAAAACTGCGAAGACAAAATGTACTTCGAAAGGTTAATATAATTGTTCCTTTAAAAATTTAAAACAATTAGTTCCCTTTATGAATTTAGATAAAGCAATAAGAAGACGTATTAGGGAGGAGTCATCGATCTCTGCAAGTAAGGGCTTCAGAGCATATTCCAAAATGGCTCCAGAAACAAATGGAATCATCAGAACCTATTAAAGATGAGAACAGACAACCTAGCTCCTCTATTGCAAAACATATTATAGAGACAGGACATAAAATTGATGTTAACAGATCTTTTAAACCTATCTATAAAACGTGTTTGGGGCGTATCCTAAAGTTTGTAGAAGCCCTAGCAATTAGAAAGTTCAAGCCACCTTTATGCGTTCAAGAACAATTTGTCATCACATTAAACCTTCCTTGGTAAATTTTGTTTTGATAGTATAGCATATGTACTATTACCTCTGCTAATTGGTTTATTGATGTTCATTGTTATTTTGACCTTGAATATGTCCTTTTAACTTGACCTAAGTGGTCTATTCTCTCACCTCTTACCTCTTCATTAATTTCATATATATTCCTATGACAAGTCCGTGTATGATCAGATTGTTCGAAATGTGTTGCGCAAATACACACTACACGATTCAGACAAATTGCGTTTTGCATGGAGGATTTCATCATGAGCTGACATCAGTTAGAGAACCACAGGAAAACCTGGGAGTACTGGACAGCTGTTTCGTTCTAGTTTGGGACTCTTCATCAGTACGCACCCACAGGGGTGCGAACCCAGAACCTTCTGGTTTCAAGGCGAGCTCGTAGACCATTGAGCCACTGGGACCCGATCCAATGGTCCTTGAATTCTAACTTCTGCCAATTCACGATATAGCGCGACCACTTTGCAATGTCTTCTTCGATATATATCGTGAATTGGCAGAAGTTAGAATTCAAGGACCATTGGATTGGGTCCCAGTGGCTCAATGGTCTACGAGCTCGCCTTGTAACCAGAAGGTCTGGGTTCGAACCCCTGTGGGTGCGTACTGATGAAGAGTCCCAAACTAGGACGAAACAGCTGTCCAGTACTCCAAGGTTTTCCAGTGGTTCTCTAACTGATGTCAGCTCATGATGAAATCCTCCATGCAATCAAACAAAATCCCTACAAAAAACCAATACTTGAAAATTGCGTTTTCTTATTGCTTTGTCTAAAATCATAATTGTTCCTATTAGTAAATCTGAATAAGGTATGAACGACAAATATACCAGGATAATATGAGCGCATTTTCTAATATTTTGATGATTCTTTCTACTGGTTACAACCTAAACAATGCAAGAATGTAAATAAAATTAAAAACATATTTGAACATTCTTTTCCATGATGATTGGGAGTAACTGGTAGAAACGAAGAGTAACATTAGTCAGAAACGATATTTACCGAAAATGTATAGTAGTCTATTATCGAGTAATAGGAGGTAACATAATTGATACAATTACTCAGAAGTGGCTTTAGAATTAAAAAATAATAGTTGTAAATTACGTAGTATTCAAAGTTAGAAATTGGATAAGGTTGAAGTTATTTTTGAGTGACAATAAACGTAGCTGAATGTCGATTTAACAAGTGTGAAGAGAGTGTGGAAATGTACAAAAGGAACATATGAGAGTGATATTAGTGAGTTAATTATTAAAGTAAAAGCAAACTGAAGGTAAAATTGAAAATAAAAGAGAAATTAAATTTTCTTCACAGAGAACGACTAATGAAGAGGTTAAAACCAAAGTAGAATAAGAGGCTGGACAAACTTTTCTGTTTACTGACGAAGTGCCAGCGCCTCCGCTATACACATAAGCAGAAACCCGAAACTCTTTGTAACACTTGGCCTCACCTTGTAGATTATCTTGAAAGGTGACTCTGGTGGAGCTATATGGATTTAGTTCACCAAGTGCTCGAAAAGTGAGCTAGTAATTGTCTTGTACTGTCCTTTTGCTGACCATACCTGATAATGTTCAGAGATGCGATTAGAAAGTGTGCGCGTTGTGCGGCCAAGAAAACTAGCAAAGAAGGCTTTCCTCAGTGGTCTGCATAAGCGATTCTTCAGGAGCTCTGCTGCGGCATCACCTTTAAATTCTATGTTCATAAACAGCTGTTTCTTCGGTACCGTCTGGATCCTTTCGGGCTTTTGCTTTAACTTCACGCTTCTCTCGATGGGTCTTACAGGAGATACATTTTCTCTGAGGTCTTCTCTGAGTTGCTCCAGTTCCCCGTCGATTGTATCACTGGTACATACCCTTCTTATTCTTGAGGATAGCGAGTGGAAAATATTTCTCTTCCCTCTCAAAAGGACCCGACTATGAAAATTCATGTATTGATCATTCCAATTTGGTTTCCTGTAGATCGACCTTTGAAGAGAACAATCAGATCTCCTTTTTGGAAAAATATCCGAAAAAAATGGAACTCCGAGTTCATCTCTGATTCTGACCTGAATTGGTACGACGGCAGCCGTTGAACTCCTTAGATATCATTTCGATGTCCTCATTTATCCTGGTACTGTGGTCATTCTTGCTTTATTTAAACTGTACTTTGTTTACCAACCTAACTTTCAGAATGGGTGAGAATTTTCGGCTCCGAATAATACTATCATCATGGCATTTTTTCATCTGACGTAATATAATTCAATCTTTCGACGAAGATAAGAGATCATTTGAAGTTTAACGTTTAGACGTTTACAAGAAAGAAGGATTGGGCGAAGACAGACTTTTTAGCTAAATTTTTATATATGGCTCTATTCTAATGTACATGCATATCGATCTTAATGCAATTCAGAAATTTACCAGTCTACTAGCCATAAGTATAGTAAAGCAACTATCTAATATCAACATGTCAAGGGGTTGATAACTAACCGAGAAGAAGTGAGTACTCGAACTGGTCACGCATTAAACTACTAAAGAGGAAGTATGCTAAACGGTAAGGCAATTAAAACAATAATAATTTATAAGTGTTGTGGCTAGAGAGGAAAATTGTGATTTGTTTACACTGATGTATTGATAACCAAGGTATGGAGAGTGACTATATGAATCTCCTCTGAACATACATATAGTGTTGCTTCAGGTGGATTCCAATGACTTTAACCGCACGTAGAATACGAATTTTTAAATCAAAACTAAGATTATCTCTGAACGCCCTCAACTGTGTACGAGCTGGAACACGTAGACTGGAAGAACAGAGTAAACGATTTTTGTCCACGTTTCTGAACAAAATTACGATTGGTAAAAAGACAATAGGTAACTTCAAATGCCTGGTTAATACCACTTCTATGGTCAGTATCTATACAGTGAAGTGGAAGACAGCTACGAATAGACCTTGATTGTGCAGGAGGATGATTTGGAAATCCGATGATCCATATGTCTAATTGTATGCCTAATTTGACTTTGTAGGTTTTAGCTTTCCCCAATACTAACACAGCTAATTCTTCCGGTGGAGATTATCTTAAAGTCTTTATGTGTAACAATAAAAACCTAGTGATTTTACTGTCATCCACGCCTAATTTTACAGTTGCAATCAAGACATTTTAGCTTCAGAACACTAACAACTTTGAATTATTTTACTTGAAGAGATTTGTTCTGGTCGCCCCTGGAATGAAGCTCATAGGTTACTGTCGACACAACGAGTAGATCCTCATTGCTCAGTGTAGACCAGTATCTAAGCCTCGTGAGGTTAAACAAGTAACAAAACTCCTTTCTTCATTTAAAAGGGGAAATAACAGGCTCATAGTACATGACTACAGTGAGTAGTTAATGCTTTATTCAAAGACAGAATTTATACAAGTGTATAAGCAACCTGGCCAAAGGACCAGACAGTGAGAACTACAGGCTCATTCACAACTTATCCACACAATAATAACTACTCAGAAAGAAGAAAAAGACAGAGAGCACTGAGAAAATGCTCTCTTTCTTTCCCAACAACTTTTCTTTTAGAACATGTTTTATTCTCCTTTCATTCTATTCACAAACGACGTAATATCGGTTTTTGTTTCCTGACTTCCTACTCATTACAATTAACTGCTTACAACCCTTAGTGGCATAGCATCCCTAGATGGTTTGACTTGCCTATTACTACTTTATTGTATTTTGCAAAACTAAACTATGTTAAAGAGATTTTTAGAAAAAAAAAAACTATGTATAAGTGTCGAATCATGTGTAAAGTCACGAATAATATACACCTCATTTTCTTTGTCTTCACATTAGAACATAATTGAATAACTAAACTATATAAACCTGGGAGTACTGGACAGCTGTTTCGTTCTAGTTTGGGACTCTTCAGCAGTACGCACCCACCGGGATTCGAACCCAGGATCCAATGGTCCTTGAATTCTAACTTCTGTCAGTTCACGACACAGCGACCCTTGGATCGGGTCCCAGTGGCTTATTGGTATACGAGCTCGCCTTGTAGCCAGAAGGTCCTGGGTTCGAATCCCGGTGGGTGCGTACTGATGAAGAGTCCCAAACTAGGACGAAACAGCAGATTACTCTGTGACCTCGATTCACCATTGGCTAGAGAACCTTAAAATTAATTTTTGACACTATTCACTAAAGTCCATATGATTTCACACTTCTTTTATTGTTTCAGTCTTTAGGTCGAAGTATTCACAATCATCACCATCATACACCAAGAGGTTCACAATCCACCGACCAATTTGTACATTCACCCATTGTTAAATCACTCAAAAAATCTGGTGTTCTAGGTGATAGGGAGAAATCACCTCCTGATGAGTTATATGGTACAAAATACACTGATAAGTCTGTAAAACATTCAACTCACTTTATTCAGAATGAACAGAATCCAGCTTACGAAGGGATTGCTGCAAGATGGTTTGACAGTCAACCAAAACGTCCTAAAGGGGATTTCTCAGACAGGAGAGCTGCAAATTTTGAAGAAACTGACAGAAGTTTTGGTAGCAGTGAAGAATATTCAGAGACAGCTTATTGTCAACATCTACCGTTGACGGATTCACCAGGTGAATATTTTGAAGGTTAGTTTCAGCAGCTATCATTACTGCTGGACTGAATTATTCCTGATTAATTAATTATACACTCAATTTCTCGTTATTTTGTTACTAAATTAGTCGACATCTTGTGTGTAGGTACTTTGATATCACTTTTTTTCACTTCAGTACCATTTGTTTGACTCTGAAAACTATGGTTACTGAATACAATTGACCAACATAGACAAACTGAGCCAGTGAAAAGTAGGCAAATCTAAATAGCTGGCCGCGAGAGGACTTAAACGGGCATTCTGGAATTCGTAACTAGCCACCGCTAAATGAATACTCTGCGTAAATGAATCTAACCATTTGTGTCGTAATATACGCATAGAAAACTAATTCTGTATAAATCAGTTGATAGGATTTTGAATAATTTACTAGGTTCGTAGTATTACCCAGTGAATATTACTGTATTGCTGTATGATATTTCTGTCAGATAAATAATAATGAGAAATCACATATTACTGCATTAATAGAGATGAATTTCTCTATACAACTCACACCAACCAGTACTTCTCGGAGTGCCCAATTTTATCACGATTTCCTTCGGAAGCCAACATTATCCGGATCATAATATGTGTTCTGCTGGATGGCACAAACGGTAATCAAGAAAGCAGGCATAAATCTATGAAAATTTATAATTTATAATTTTATAATATATATATATATATAAATTATGATTGGACAAAATTTTAAAAAACAAGATGTGTCCCTTTATATATAAACTTTGTTATGTTAATTTCGATTCATTTCCCTGAAGAAGTTCGGACCAGATTGCCGAACGAAACGTTGGAATTAATCATTTCAATTTCGCTGAGATTTTACAAATATAACTTTATAAATGTCTACTTCTCACTCAGCGCTCAATTATTTTGCAACTATCCGGTCAAATCTTGATCACAGTTCGTATGAATAAATTATTATATTTATATATAATATATAAACATAATAGTTTATAATTTATAATGACTTACTAAGATGAGTGGTTGTATAAAGTGAGAGTTTCGAATTTGATTTTAGGTGTTACCATTTCTTCCATGTAGCTAACCAGACATCTGGTAGTTTCAACTGATTTGACTCTTTGAGCTCAGTCGAACCAGGAACACTGCTAATCAGCTCAGCCGTACAATGAGCCTAACGACAGTCTGGTTTTAAATCACTTCGTTTTGATTATTCAGCACTAATGGTTGACGTGAGTGGTATGCAGCTATTCGTTTCAGCCAATCAGTAGTAAAACGTTTTGGGCAGATATTCGATTTCGGCTAGGAATGATGACAAAGACTTGTAGTTCGGGCGGATGAAATCTATGTTGTTAATTTCTTTTAGCTGGATGTTTTAATTGCTAAGCCGTCATCATCTTTCTTACCAATCTCTATAGCAAAGGCTTCAATGCGAATCGAGCTTTCAGAATTTCCTCTTTGTCAATTTATCAGCCATATGTCTTGGTGAACCTAAAAGTGAATAGTTCTTTCCGGAGGTTTTCATACCCTCACATCGATTTGTATTTTGTTAATCTCATAGTTTGTCTTTTGTGCATATGACTTCCTCTTTAATGAACGAGTAAAGTGCTGTATGTCGCTGTATGTCTGTTAATTACAAATTTATTTAGGTACAATGCTCCTATGGATTTCCAGGCGTTCTTCGTGTTTATTCTGTACAAGATATATAAATTTTCCCAGGTGAATTGGTGTACGTAGTTGTGTACATGTATTGAAATGAGGGAATAGAAATCATGTCTTTTGACAGGCACTTAACATTCGTGGATGCAGAGATTAAGAGGACAGCCACTTTGACGAATATAGTGTTTTTCACTGTTGTCACAACTTATCTTGTGGACGGTGTTGGTTTTTTTGGTTGACTCAGTAGAGACTGAAGTAATATTGTTGGCTTGTGGGTGACATCTATTACAAAAGTTTTCAGTAATTTTGCAGCAATTTCAAGGAAGTTATTTATATGTGGTTAAATGGTTTCCACTTATTTTCATTGGATGACGGTAGGCATCTTATGATGGAGTCGCGGCAAATGAGATTTCTCGCCTAGTCTCCTAAATGTAAAAGTGATGCAATGAGCCTTAGCTGTCTTTGGTATTCCAAGTGACACAATTTCATATTTAATGATTGCAAACCTAGACAGTGATGCACTGAGAAGGTTTCGCCTTATTGCTATTTATGTTCATATTTTTCATCAATATTATTTTCATAGCAAGCTGTTAATCAGTTAAACTCAATTATTATTCTAAAATTTTCAGATCGGCACAATCTGGATTTAGACCAGTCAAGACGTCGAAGACTACCGTACACAAATACTAGTAGACGTAATGTTGGCGACGAGGAGAAATATATCCCCTATAAAGCTATACAGGATCATGAATATCTTCAAAGATCTTTAATTCCAGTGGAAGAAAGTGATATTCATGGTCATTTTCTGAGTGAGGAAAATCTCCCAAAGTATGATGTAGAATTCACAGAGGATGAAAGAGAAATACCATACTATGAACTGTGGGATGGTAATCGAAGCAACAATTTAAATTCTCCTCAAAATTGCATCCACAGGGCGGGAAATAAGCGTCCTCTACCATCACAGCACGAAAATTCAATACCTCTTTTTACAAGACAAAGAAATGTTATGGGAGAACCACTTTGGGGACTCAGAAATATACCTCATCTAGCGCGTATTCCTAGTGTTGAGTATACCACTATACATCCATCACATCAACAACCGCTAATGCATGAATCACATGAGTATGATCTTCTTTCGTTGAATAAAGACAAATTAAACTTTTCTGCTGGTCCTTCTAGTTCAATATTTTATCCCATACCCCCACCCTCAGGACCAGATACAAGTAGTCATGCTAGACACCAGATTTTTGATAAAAATAAACACATAGAAATGACACCTAGAGGAATTCCAGCAAATATGCACTTTCAACCGATACCACCACCAACGTATTATGATTGGGAACCATCTTATATAGGTCAGTCGTACAGTACTCCCATTCGTGGTTCGTACATTGAAACAGACAAAATAAACTCAAAGTTGGTTAACTTGCAACCTCAGTCAGATGATTTTAGACCAAGGCCATCACCTTTACACTTTTTCACTCCACAATTTAAAAGACACCGTATACCTCATAATATTACAACACAAATAACGGGACCAAAAAAACAAATTCACAGAACTGCAACAGACAGTGGTAGTAATACTATTAATACTGCTAACAATCCTATAACTTTCCGTGTTTGACTACTTCACCCACTACCACTGCTGTAACTGCTAGTTATTATTCATCGTCTAAGGATAAAAATGTTATCGTTAAACTAGGCGTTACACATCCATATGATGGAGCATCAACCAGTCTATCCCCACAATCCACAGATTCACATCACTTCCAACAGAGAGTAGTAAATCTTCCTCATGCATCATATTATTGCGAATATAAACCGGAAACGTCGACAACTCATCGACCAGATAATTCATCAACAAGTTCAAGCGGTAAAGTCAACGATGATGATGATGATGATGGTGAGGAGGAGGATGCAGACGGCGGTGTGATATAGTGGAAATTATAAATACAAGGCACTTAAGTAATTAGTTTCTTTTATTTTCTATTAAATTATACAATTATACCTTATATGTATACTTTCTTACAAATAAAAAACACTGTGAGTAAATACAATTTTTATGTATTATAATACGATTTTTTATTAACTGAAATATACTCCTCCTATTTGTTCAAAGTATACAAAGTATGCGTGTATACGCAAAGAATCAAGAAACATTAGTCATTGGGAAAACGCAAGGACAAATTGTGATACACTCTAGTTACTTTTTTATCAACTTACTGACTTCCCTTCTTAGCGTATTCCACATCACTAATTCTTTGTTTCTTTCTTGCGTGTTTTACGTATGATGAGTACATAAACAACTGAACCATACACACATTATTATGGAGTATATATTTTTATATATGTGATGTATAGAGCAATTCTCATTCCACTGTTTCGCTTTTTCCTTTCCCTCTGTTCCGTTGAAACTCCCTTCGCCCTTTCCCCTTGCTCACATCCCTATCCTTGTTTTCCTTCAGTTAATTCCCTCTTTAACCTTTTCGTTTTCTAGAATAGGACTGTAAACATTTTTACTTCTCATCTGGATTTCTCTTTCTGTGTTTATTTCTTAGTATTAAAAAATATGACATTTTGTGAATACTAATGTATACATGCAAATATGATATGACTAGTATGGTGTGTAGTGGTCAAAAAATATAGACATTTCATTATTATTATTATGGTTACTTTGGGTTCCAAGTGGAACTCAAGAATTCAGCAGCACATCTCCACTTTGTCTTAATCTCTGGGGTCCAATTTAGATTGTCCTATGACATTGGAGAATAGGTAATTGTTAAAATGGCATTAAAATGCTTTTTTTCTGGTTTTGGTATGTTCCTAGTCGAATATAAGGTCTAAATCTTAAATACTTAAAGTTTCGGTAGCTCTTCTACTGTTTTTTGTTACGGATGGAATTACTAGCATCACATAAACCTTGTAGACTTCCTGGTTGGGGTCCTCAGGACGGTAAAAACCATGGCTGGAAACAAATGATGAAATGTCTCAAAATCGTGCTAAAAGGCTAGCACAGATGCATCCACTCCTTGTGACCTATGATTTCCAATGAAACACATTGTTCTTCGTTACTTCTATTTGTTTGTCTCACACCTCTGTTTACTGTCTCTATTATGCATTTCTTCTACCTTCTTCTCTTGCTTTGTGTTCTACATGGAGTGTGGTGACTTAACTGCCACACATATGTGCAAAGTTCTATGTCGAAAACAGACAGACAGACGTCATCCTTGCCAAACCTATTTCTCCTAGTTGCTATAGACCATATGAGGTTTAGGAGTATTTAAGCTGGCAACCGAACTGCAATCACGCATGAGTGGCTGGTAAGCATTTGACATGAAACTAGAGGTGCTCAGCAGATAGTTTTTCAATAGGATTCTAAATAAGTGGACAAGGAACAAAAAAGGTTGAATTATGTCTGTCATTCAACAGACTTGAAATAATACACCTACAATAATTATTGAAATTAAGATCTACATATAAAAGTCTGTGTAGTCAGATGTCTCATTCCACCTAACCTTAATTTTGCTTTACTAATTGGTATTTTAAGCATAAAATAGACATGCTAATTCATTTGAAAGAGCCAGATCTGTGTGTTTAAGGGAAATTTGTACAGTTTATTATTATTTTCATATTCCTTTGAGTTATGAATGGAACACAGGGCATCAAGCTTCGGTGTTAAGTTTTCAGTACTAGTGGTGATCTTTTTCATGGAGTGGGGTTGCCAACCTGAATCCCAACCTTTATTCTTTACCACACTTACTATTGGCTATGCAAGGTTTGTGAGTCCTTTGTGAGTCCAGGGCTAGAACCTCGGGTCACATACATGGTTGGGGAGATATCTATCACTAAATTGCTGACGCACAAGGTAATATAAGGTAAGAATATATTGCAATCACTAGGAAACAAAATACCTTAGAATGTTCAGTTTCTTGAAAGTAAGATTTAATCCACTGTCACAAATTTCAACACTATTGTCTAAAATCGACGTGGTGTATAAGTCACTGATGTTTCTCCACTGCAGGGTTCTTTGGTTTCATTTTTGATGCCTATTAGAACCAGGGTGAGTATTTTTACCAGTAAATTTCTAAAAAGGTGACCAATTATTCGAAGTTCGAAAGCGCAACCACAGGGAATAAGAACATGATGTATGAACAAATACGTGTGGTTTTCGCACTAACCTAATCAGAAACTGTATTATTAGAAGAAGTATGCAAAGTAGATATTAGAACGTTTGGTTAAGCCAAAAGATTAGTAAAGCCTTCTGATAGAATAGAATATTATTTTTAACTTCAAAAGGATACTAGACGAAATTGTACTAGCGTTGCCTACAGGTTTTATCTTATTCGTTAAGCTGAAATGTTTTTATTGTGTAATTTTATTGTTTAGAAGACCATCAAGCTAGGTAAATAAACAAAACGACACGAATTACATTCAACTTAGCTAATTATCTACCCTATAATTGGACAACATCTTGATGTCTTCTAAAATGATAAGACTATGTGTAATAATTGATTATTATGAAAGTATATTTGTTGGAGAATGCAACTATAATCGTATTATAATTCTTTTGTCGCTTTCCGAATGGGACAAAGAGCATCGGCAGTTGCATCTTACTTTCACTCCGTTATCTGCCATCACTCTGAAGTGTCTTCGCGACTGCCCTTGAGCATTTATTTCCTCCTAACATGTTCTCTTTCCTGTAGACCTTGGACTCACTCTCAAATCGTCGCTTCTATCGAACCATCTGAAGGCCTAGCGAGTGATGTCACCGGCATGTATCCCATCCATTTCTACTTTTTCAACATAATTGCTGAGCAATAGGCTAAGGACTAAACAGTAAGATATGCTATCAGTGGAGGGATCTGTCGTGGGGCTTTAGTGTGTTTCGAGATAAATATCCAAGGATTTGTTTATATGGATTATATTTGTTTCGGGTATGACATAGATTGATATTAGTTAGAGAGCCATTGGAAACCAGAATCTATCATACAACTGATTCGTCCTAGATTAGGACTCTCCAGAAGTGCGCACCACCACCACAGTTAGAGCCCAGGAACTTCCAATTACAAGGCAAGCTGGTAGCCTATTCAACCATTAGGGCACAACTGATTGGCTACCTAACGAATTCTAACTTCCGCTATTCCGTGAGTTTAATGCGACTAGTACCAATCGATGTTATCGGCTAGTATTTGTCCTCACTCCATACTGAGTGGACCCTAATGGTCACAACTTCTCCCAAGAACTCCATACAACTTCGTCTTGCAGGCAGTGGAGTGATTGGTGCGTACTTATGACGAGTCTCAAACTAAAACGAAACAACTGCAAGTACACCCTGCTTTTCAATGGTTCTCTAACTGATATCAACCTATGGTGAAAGTTGAAATTAATTTCCAGTGTAGACAATGTGTCCTAGATGATAATCAAAATTTGTCAGTCAGTTTAACTTTCGATATTATGAAATAAGTGAAGCGACTAAGAGTTAGGAGTTGAAAAACTGTGAAACAATTACTGTTAAAATTGAATTATGTTCAGAATGGTGAAAGAAGATGAGGAATATAGCTATATGACAGTAACCATTATCCAACCGTAAAGTTAACTGGAGTGTAATAATAATTCACCATAATTTTTTATTAGTAACAGACTAAAATACTCTCTAGAAAGTCTTTTGTATGTTTCATTAAATTAAGAACAAACATAAGTTAAGGTAGTAGTAATTCACTTCCCAAAAATTCTGCATCCATAAATCTGGGAAAATCAGGCTAGTATAGGAATGTTTCACTTTTCAGGTAGATCGTTCTAGTAAATCAGTTGCAAAGAAATTAAATCATTGTCAGATATGTGAGACTTCATATATTTATTCTCTTTTACAAATGCGAATGAATCAGAGAAGAACAGGTTCTGCAGAATTAGATGGTGCCGTCCTTCAATTTCTTTGCCTACCTTCAACCGCCTACAGCCTGAAAGGTTTGTTTACAAAAATGTTTAAAATACTTCCGGATGTTGTATAATGCCAGTTGACAGAAGACTGCAGACTAAGAAATTAAACTTACAAAGCTTATATACAGAAGGTTTAAGTTTAGACAAAAGATACAAGATATCGATAAGACGATGAGTAACTAGTAAATTGAGTAATAATGTAGAATTACACTTTAGCGAAGAGGAAGAGGTGAAGGCCAAATAGTACTCAGTCATGTAAAAGAGAGTAAAGCCATCCAGTACGCACCCACCGTCAGTGTTTGAACCTATGGCCTTCTTGTTATAATGCGGGCTGGTAGAACTTTGTGCCACTGAGTCCCGATCAAATGACCCTTGAATTCTAACTTCTGCCGATTCACGACAGCGCGTGATCATTTTGCAATGTCTTCGAACCCCGGTTGGTTCATACTGACGAAGTGTACCAAACTAGGACGAAACAGCTGTCTAGTACTCCCAGGTTTTCCAGTGGTCCTCTAACTGAAATCGGGTCATGTTGATGTCTTCCATCCGACCAAACTGAACCCCTACAAAACCAATAATTGAGAACTCCATTTTTGTAAAATAAAAAGTAATGGTTTCGGGTTAACATTGACAAATAGAAACAGTTTAGACTGAGAATAGCAATATTAATAATGATAATAATAATAATTGTTGTAATAAGGCAAAAGGATATAGAATAACTGAATTAACAAAGTACATAAATAAATGAATGTCTATCCCTCTGTGGCCACGGCAGATGTAGGGATAGTACAAATTTCTTTTGTACACAGAGGTCTAGCCCAAAGTCATTAATTGCCAAGGCCTCTGGTGTCTTTAGAAGTCTGTAATGATGAAAACGCGGGAATTTAGCATGGATTCTATATATGATCTTGAAATCATGGTCAGGATTGACCGAGTGACAGAAGTCGATCAGGTGTTCCAGAATAGAGCTTTGCACGCACTTCTTTTCTCCCTTGTAAAACCAAGCTGGAATATGTTCTCATATCCCTGTGGAAAGCGTCCTCTGACTACGGCCAATGTACCTCGCTTCACAAGAGCAGGTGAACTGATAGATGCACATGGAGGAGGCCAGATGAGGGAGCTTATCTTTTACAGAGTTAGATAACAACTTTCGGCTGGTGGACGTCATATGTAATTTTGCTGTAAAGAACGTCTTACTGACTGCTTTAGAGAGACGATTTTTGAACATATCTGAAGCTTGATCACCTCTGAATTCCTAGTTCATGAATAAGGTTTTCTTTGGAACTGGGTCGGTAACCAGTTACTCTATTTGCCTACTAATGCTATAATTCCACACCTCTTTCAAGTTCTATGCATCCTATGAATTCTTCTATATATGTTAAATTAATTGTCTTGCCACTTGAAATTTAAGCACACAATCATTTTAATTGTATTTCATACTATTATTATTTCGTGTATTCACATCTATGATTCGATTTCCCCACCCCATATAATTTCTTAGAAAAATCCACATATATAAATATATATATATATATATATATATATATATATACGATTGTACAGTTTTAAAATAAATTCGTTGAAAAGAGTCTCTTCGTTGAATACAAGAACAAAAACGTTATGTGAAGAGTCTCTTTTCAGCTAATTCATTCACTTAGCTATAAAATTGGATTTACGACAAGGTTGGACTATCCATCTTAGACAATTATGCTATTCTTTCATTTTTTTTTAACCCTACTAGGATGACAGCATGCTCATTTTGCGCTTTAAGGGTTTTAACATATAGATCAAATGATTGCAGATATATTTCACTGAGTTACTGTACAGATTTCTACTTAACAAACAAATCTGCCTTATTCAAGTGGATTAGCATTTTATTTTTGTGTGTTTAAAAGACCATT